CCGTTATCATTAGGAATGAAACTTGGCTCGGTCTTGTTTCGAAACCCCTCCATTATCCTCTTTCACATCCCCAACTCTTCTCATGTCTCTTTCGTTTCAACGAACAAAACATTTATACTCATCCACAAATAATATATATGTATGTATAATATATTTGTTTGCGATATTTTAAGGACAATTGCAACGAAAGTGTCACGTAATTATTATAACTTATAGAATATTAAATCGTTCGTTATAAAATTTGATAGAAATTAATTTCTCTGCGAATAATCACTTTTCTTTTTTTTTTTTTTTAAATATAATGTGAAACAAATTTGCTCAATTACAATAATATGTATAATTAAATTTTATTTATAAACTATAACATGAAAAATATTACGTAAAATTGGATTAAGTATGTAAAATACAAAAACATATTTTAAATATACGATAATATTGACAGGAATGATTTCAAATAAAATTTGGTAAAAAAGTTGTTAACATACTATACCAATGATTCCAAAATGTGCACTGCGACATCCTCTCTAATTTCTTCGCAAAAGACAAGCTCTAATTCATCCTATTATTTAATATAATTATTTATTACATTATTTTGTAACTTACAATTTGTTTTCTTTATTTTTATCTAACCCTTGTAAAAAATGATTAGCTATTTCGCAAAATATACTTGTTAGAATTTCATATTTTGGATACCTTAGGAAAATTTGGATCCAGCAGGGACGGTGAAAATCGAAAAAGTTTGGGAACCACTTTACTGTATAATATTTGTTGATTGGTAAATTTCTTATTTACGAAGAACTTTTATACCACATGTGTATTCATACTCATCAAATGAAAACAAGTTTACACCAAGCAAAACACAAGTGCAATTATTATAATATACAGAATAGTAATATGTAAGAACCATCAATATATAACCAAAATATCGAATAACGATTGTGCTTAATAAGGAAGAGGCTTGAACACATAATACATATGTATATGAATTTAAATGTTGAAAAACCAGATGCAACGAGTAACACTTTGTTCCTTGATGACACTTTGCCATTGATTTTATTAGCAATTTTTTAATGATGTTTTAATGATGAACGCAGGAAAGAGAAACCAAAAAAAAAGAATTTTTCCAAAGGAGATTATTCTATGATGAGAAATTTTCCAATAAGCTTAACACATACATGTAACGTATAAACCGTATAATAAAATCTACGCGGTAGATTTGATCGTTTCGAAATTGCACAACGATTATTATACAGATTTCGAACCGTTCATTTATAGGGGTACGTGTTTACTAATAGTTTTATTTTGATTGCAAGCTTATACGTAATCTTTATTAATACAAATATCATTTAATAATCAGGCAAATAATACTAATCGCATCACAAAAAGATATTTTATGTCTATCTATGCATTCATAGTACAGTCCGGGTGAGTTACTTAAGATCGACAACCTAAAAAACTTCTACAATTTTAGTGATATGTAAAAATATTTAAAGCAAGAGTTTTTTTGTTATCGAAGGAGACGCCAAGTTATACGGAACATTTTTTTTCCCAAGCGAAATCACGTGGGAGTTATAAAGATCATTGTTATATTTTTACACATTATCATGCATTTATGAATACCTAAAATCGTAACTTTTTTTTAAGACAATTTTAACGATCATCTAGGATTTAAAGTCATGAACGGATAATAAGAAGAAAAATTCAAATTTATCGTAAATGTTTTAGACTAGTATTCTGTTTTGCCTAAATCAGAATACTAATTATTTGGGTGGAATCTTAAAGTATCTTATTCGATATACTATGGTATATGGAATATTAAAACGACAAGTGTTTACAAAGATTACTATAAAATTTAATCATTTTTTTACAAAAAACATTCAGACAGAACAATTTTTTCACGTGGTCAAGGTGTATATTACAAATTCATTTTACTTTGGATTGATTTTTTAAGAAGTATGTTAACTTTTTCAGAAACTTAAAATAGCAATAGACGTTAAGTGGGCACGACATTTGAAAGATCATTTAATTCTTTCTATGGGGATGCGTTTTTGTTTCAGTTTATCAAAGTTTTAAGTATAATATTCAATGCAGTGGGAGTTATATTGAATCGTAGAAACCGTAGAAATCATTGAAAATGGCGAGAATATACCGGAAAATGTGTTTGTTCAATAAGATGGGACTTCTATGCAATTCCAATAGAGCAGTTTTTAAATCAACATATTCCCGTGCATGGCATTGTACTGAATTGTATTATAAGAAAATATTGATTATCTGAAATAGACAGTGAGGATACGAATATTCTCGTGATTCACTGTATGTGCATATGTGTGATATATTATTTACATATAATCGTTGTCGAAAATTTAATTTAATTTTAATTAACATTTCAATATATTTCCTAAAATATATAAATATAATATATCTATGCAACGAACGCATACAAATTCGTGTATTCTCCCGTGTGTACAGAATCTTTCGTTGAATCAATTTTTTATCGTACATACAGCCTGTAAACGCGTGCAAAACAATGAACATCTATCGGTTACGTAATTTTTCGCGAAAAACTTTAAAGTAAAAGCAGAAAATTGAGTGTTTCACTAAGTTCCTTCTTTTTTTTGTTTTTTTTTTCCGGTTGGATGGTACCCTTTCTCTTTATTTCTTTTTTCTTTTTGTTTAGTACGAATAGAAAGAAGTGAGTGATAATGAAAGCACAGCGAGTCGGACGCGTACTACAGCGGAAAATTGCTACGAAAGGGAAACGTAACGAAAATATGAGTGTGTTATGTCCTTGTTCTTTTTGATTTTTTTCTTTTTTCTTTTTTCTTTTTATTTAAAGCTTTTCCTTGAATAATAACAATTTCTGAAAATCTTTTGAATAAAGATGCGAGAGCATCCTCGAATTGAAATGTCACTGAAATACAGTCTTCTACATTTTGCTATTGAAAAATTCAATTTAAAGGTAGATAGACAGGGAGTGAGCAGTTCAAGCTTGCGCAATTGTTGACGGAGATTGGATTTTATTGTATCGAGGACTAAACTTTCGTTGGGTCTTGCTTAAGTCCCTCGTGACGAAGTATTTCTCTCGGATAAAGAGAAAAAGCGTTTTGACGCATTCATCGATGATTTTCTCCGCTTATTTCTTTGTCACTTTATAGAATTTTAAAGAAAAATATTAGAAACATATTTTCTTCGTAGTTTTCTTACCTTGATTTTTATTATTCATTGATTATTATCATTCTCGTAAAATGTTTTTTTTTTTATAATAAATACGAAGAAAATGATATGTCGTCAAATCTTATTTCATAGTGTATTTTTTTTTTTATAATTATTACGATAATTATTTGATTTGGCTATAGGAAAAAAAATTCTAACGATAAATATAAAGATTTAAAAAAGAAATAAATGAAATATTATATTTAAGTTTGTTGAAAAAAGTGATTAAAATATTAAATTGAGATTCTAAGTGACATAATTGTGTATATTAAAGATGTAAGATTAATGTTTAAGAATATTTCTTGGATATATTTAGTGACAATGAGTAAAAAGTACGTTATTACGAGGAGAAGATAATAAAGAGATATAGTGAAAATGTCAGAAAGCGGAGCTTTAAGTAAAGCTTAGCTTTAGGAAAACCGAAAGTATTATACACGTTCATCACTAATCTAAGCTCTCGCATTAGTCTTATATGCGTATAGCATATAGTCGGCTTCTAGTACTTTCTTTACTACTCCTATCTAATACAGTTTAATGCTCGACAGAAAGATGAAATGCCCATTCTCATTATTAAGCTCGGTTTATTTCAAAAGCTTCGAGTTGCCAGCAAAAGTGGAGTTCTCTAAAGTAAGAGCTTAAAATAGTTAATAAATCAACTTTACCGTATACGAAATAATCTAGAAGTCCATCAAGATGTATGTATAATCCAATCGTTTGAGTTCCCGACTACAAAGCGATTACTATTGTTAGTATTCGCACAGATATGGATAACATAGTATACAGTAAAATTCGTTTTCCTTTCATAGATAAATACGAGGGAAAAAGTATGTTTCTTTAGAATAGTAGGACGTATAAGTAACGTGGGTGTGTACGTAAGTTTTATCGGGGGGAGTAGAAAAATAAATTGAAGAATGTTATGTTACGCGTAGAATTGAGAAAAAGAAAGAGAAAGAGAGAGAGAGAGAGAGAGAATAATAACAGCTTCTGGATTGTATCTGCGTTAGCAACAGAGTTTAATTTTGATCAAGTACTCTCTTCTCTCTATCGCCGAACTTTGTGATATTTTAGTGGCAAAGGAAAAGAAATGAGGTCGAAGAGACTTCAGAGAAGAAAATTGAGAACTTCGAGTACCATACTTTTTATGTTCTCGCTTTCACCACCATGAATATTTCTCGGAAATTTAATTGCATAAGGAAGAGAGTTTGTAGTCTTGGATGAACGTAGTATCATGATGAAACAAAAAAACAAAAAAAAAAAAATGTATATCCTACCAGTAGAGATCGGACCGTATTGCATCAAGGACAACCGTTTTTCAAACTTTTCTTAGAGTAAGTAGATAGTAGTAGTAGTTGTAGTAGTAGTAGGTTAGAACGAAAAGAAAACTTCACGTTGAAGAAAAAAGTAATGCTGGTGGTCGTTCACGGCTCTTATTCCCGCCGAACAAAATGAGAGTTATATAATAAATTGACGTTGTGTTCTTAAGAAGGAAGAAGAAGGAAGAAGAAGAAGCAAAGGGAAAAGAAAAGGATGAACGAAAAAAGAAAGATAAAAAAAGATAAACCCTAACTCTGTCCCAAATACTTTTTATCCCGGTTCTTTGCTTTCATTTCTTTTCCTTTTTTTTCTTTTTTTTTTTTTATTCTTTATTCAGCTATCTTTTTGGAAAGGAACGTTTCAATCATTCCATCTTTTCACTACGCTTATTGACGTAAACTAGGCTTATTATTATTCTTAAGAAATGGGAAAAGAAAATATTTATATATACATTTTTTTTAAACATAACTTACCCAGTATAGGATTGCCACGATGCGTTGCCAAACCACCAAGAGTTAAAACGTGAGAATGATCGGCCGTCACGACGATCAGAGTTTCCGTAAGGTCAACTTCCTTCATGACTGCTCGAACTGCTTTTTCCAACGCTAAGGTTTCGTCTAGGGCGCGATAAGCGTTATTGTAATGGTGGGCATGGTCTATTCTACCACCTGAAACATAAATCGTCAATTTTTTCTTTCGGTTTCTTTTTATTGTTTTCTCTCTTTCTCCCAATCTCTCTCTCTCTCTCTCTCTACTTCTATTTCTATATTTATATTTGAATCTATTTTTATTTCTATCCCAATTTCTTTTTTCTATTTTACGTTGAGAAAAAAAGAGTCTCGTTTCTATACTAGCAACGCGTCGAAATTTATGTTACGCGTAAATTTGTTTCTTACAATTCCAAGCATAAACAGAAAAAATCATTGAACTCGAGTCATGTGATTCCAACGTTGAAAAGATTCATTTATTCCTGTTATACAATATATTTTATTTTTGTCTTGTTTATCGTTCGGTAACTGTAAAAAATCAGTTCAGTTCTTGGGTAAAAAATACAATATTTTGTTTTTCTCATATCATTTTCAATTATATTTTTGATATCATAGAATCGAACATCATCGGGAAGAAAAAAGTGATTTTTGAAATAGAAATAAAATCTAACACAGTGAGACGCGGCGAAACAATATTGATATTTTTCAGAATATTTCCCATGAAATTTATTACATAGTTTTCAACTTGTCGCGTCGAGACTAGTAAATAAAAATATAATATATACAACGTTTATTTATTTTGTAAGACTTTTTCACGTAATCGATCGTCCATAGAAACACGCTCATAGTTTTATGATATTCATCGAAATATATTATATGTTTTTGAAGTTATATACTTCTTTTGGCGCATTTTGGAAAGTGAAGTTATATGCGACCGAAAAATCAACACCACGAAGTTGTCGATATTTTTACGATGCGCGGGCAAAACGATTTCAAATTTACGGCATGAAGTTATTCGTAAATAAATTAATTAAATTGTACATATTAATTAAAACCTTTATCAATGGTATTTAATATCTTCATTTTATTTTATCATATTATATAAGTACATACATCAGTTTTTTTTTTCTAAGTCTACGCATAAAAAAAAAAAAGAAGATAAAAAAATATTTCTAATTTTTCTTACCCTCCACAAAGAGAAAGTATCCTTCCGGATTCTTCGCGAGAATATGCAATGCCTTTAAGGTCATCTCTGTCAGAGAAGGATCCCCAGTACTGTTCGTGTTGCGATCCACATCAAAGTCCATGTGAGAATAAGCGAATAGTCCTTTAAAATAAGTATAGCTATTTATTTACATGTCCATTCTCTCTCTCTCTCTCTTTCTCTTTTTCTCTCTTCCTTTATACACAATTCCTATACATGTGTTTATATATATATGTATATGTTTGTGTTTGTTATTTCCAAACGCGACATTTTATGCCCGAATGAATATTGTGTTTTAACACACTGACAAATAACACGCACACAGGACGCGTGTGTATAGAACGGAAGGATTGCTACAAAAGAAAAGAATCAACAATATAAAACGAACAGTACTACTAGCTTAACCGTACAAATAAATTGCTACGTTATTAATCTAAAAGTATGGATGCAATGTTTAAAGAAAAAAAAAAAAAAACAGAAAAATAAAATAGAAAACAAAATAAAACAAGAAGTAAATTAAATCAGCGGAACACGCAAGTTCCGACTTTTTATATTTTCTAAACCATCCCGTTTGTTTTTCTTTGTTTTTTTTCTTCTTCTTCTTTTTTTTCATTTTATTTTATCGCCAGACCAAAATCGAATCGAGTTCTTTATAATTAAATGTATAGAAAATTTGTATTTGAGCTAACCTAACAAGTAATTAACTTGTCGTGGATCAACACTGTCGAATTGTTCCTTATTGGAGACGTATCTTGAGGAAACTTTTCGTATACGATTATTACGAGACCATTCCTCGATTAGATTTCTTCCATCTAATCTTCTGCCTTCTTTGTCAGGTTCTTCCGGATCCAATGTCACTTTGGGAACAAAATGACGCCTTCCACCACCAAGAATTACCTAAAATTGAATAAATCATTGTCAACGTATATAGAATTTTATATATTCGTTATTGAACAATTAAAACATAATCTAATTTATAATATCAATCCTAGTAAATAGAGTTAAAAAAGTTTACGCATTCAGATTAACGAGCTTTTGTTTTATATCTGAAACAAACTAGTGTGCCCGTGCAAAAGCACCAACGCGTACCGATTTAACTCACTATCGCTATGTACTATTGCGTACCAAAATACGATGAATTATTGTTGGTTCGATGAATTCGCTTGTTGGATATGAACGAACAAATCTTCTCTTGCGTTATACGTTTGAAAATGATTAATATATTTGAACGATACAACGGATATAAATTTAAAAGAACAACAATAAAGTAATAAACAAATATATTTAGAAATAAAAACTTATGCTATAATATATAAACTAAAATATAATTTATATATTTTAATATATA